CCATCTATCCATCTATCCATCTATCCATCTATCCATCCATCCATCTATCCATCCATCCATCTGTCCATCTATCCATCCATCCATCTATCCATCCATCCATCTGTCCATCTATCCATCCATCCATCCATCTATCCATCCATCCATCCATCTATCCATCCATCCATCTACCTATCTATCCATCTATTCATCTACTATCGGTCCGTTCGTCTGTCTGTCTGTCTGTCTGTCTATCTGTCTGTCTGTCTGTCTGTCTATCTGTCTGTCCATCCTTCTATCGATCTATCTATGTATATCTTTTTTGTTATATAACATTTTGCTGTGGTGAATTTTCAATGCCTTTTGCATCCTTGTTGACTTCTACTGGTGCATTCTCCCCAGATTTGAAACATTTAAGTCTATCATCATCTTTGTTTTATATCTTCCTCACACACACAATCCCGCCCACTACAGTGAAGTTGACATTCAGATTTTTGGATGCCCGCTGAATGGGTTTAAACAGCAGCTGAGTGTGGAGGCAGGAAGGCAGCCTCAGGTGGAGAGGAGAGGGCCGAGTGAAAGGGAAGCCATGTACAAAAGTCTAAGTGTACGCTGGTTTTCTGAGCTGAAATTGGCCTTGCCTCTGGCTCTTTACACCCACCCCTTCTCTCTCTCTCTTTCTGTCTCTCTCCCTCGCTGAATGGCTCTCTTTGTCTTTCTCAGTAACACGCAGTCCCCAGCCGATTAAATGTGGGGAATTAGTAGTCAATTTTAGCCTACCGCACACACAAACACACTAAACAGCTTAGGTTGGTGGGGTACTGATTGTGCTGTTATTACAGTTGACACGTCAGCTGCGTGTTTTTAATTATTTTTTCTTTTCAGCCCTCACTTGCTAACTGCTCCATGTATTACCTCCGAACCACTGAAATGACACAGGAAGTTGTTTTGTTTTTTTATAAATAAATTGATTTAATAGATGACAACAATAAAATTTCGACATTGCTTTTCTTGTATGGAAGCAAAAATACTCAAGTGAATGTATAGCAAACACTTTACAAAACTATCCAGAATTATACAAAATGGAAGAAAGCAAAGAGGTGACACACAATGCATTATTACTGACATAAAAAAATAATAACTACATGGTAAGAGGGTCAGTATAAAATGATGACGAATGCGTCACGTAATAGAGGTGCCCATTATTCACATTGCTGAAGAGGGCTGTTTGGGCACAATGTGGGGAAGAAGAAGAAGAAAAAAAACTGTAAAGACGAAAACATGCTTTTGGCCTACATGCAGTGCAGAGCGGTCGTACATGTGATTCTAATCCTTAAGTAGGACCCAAAGCTGGCCAATTATCTGAAGAGATTTGGTCGAGACTTTGCACTTATAGATTTTAACTCAGTTATTGGAAAAATCAGACGCGAATCAGCAAAATGTTCAACTTAAAAAGCGGGAAAAAAGGAAGACGGAAGCACACGTGTACTGCTCTGCAATTTTGAACACCTTCAGCATTATTAGCACAGGTATCCAGTGTTGTATTTCTCCTTTGCTATTGGCACAAAATTAACAGAGTTGAGGTAAGTGTCCAAGACTGAGCGTTAAGCTGAAATACATCTCTTTCCCTCTCTTTTTCCTATTTTTCCCCTTAAATGCTTAATTGTTCAGTTCAGTGAAGTCAATGCAATGAAAGGATAGAAACACAGAGTGTGCTATGTACAAAGAAATAGGTTGCATCTATCCTTTTCTGGCCACAAGAAGAAAAGAAAAAAAACTCCAGGGAACATCTTGTTGAAAACAAAAACATGCTTTTCCCAAAGCAGTGGTGCAGATGTATTAGTGTAATTATCAAATCAGTCACAATAAGGTTACACCCTAGGATATCAACAACGACAATAAACTTACTACTCATATAAAATAACACAATAGCATTAAGAAAAAAAAACAACTTCTGCTTTAGTTTGGTTAATAAAAATCTGATTATGTCGATCTAAACCCGTCGTTTCTGGGTCAAATCAGAGTTACTCGTCAATGCAACATCCGCTCAGTATACAAACTTGCTGTACATTCGGACTTATACAATTTACGATGGCACACGTTTGTTAAGGCTTATTTGATTTCTGATTGGCAGTTTGACCCATGACTCACACTTTATATTGTGGCTGTTCATTTTATTATTTTAAATGTCTAAGGCCCCGTGGATGCGTCTTGCATTTCATTGGCTAGAAAAAAAAGAAAGTAAAAACCTCTAATATAACATCAATATGGCACGGGCGCTCACACGCACACACAATCACACGTTCACATATTTGTACACCCACAGACACACGAATCCACTCGCACACTTCCCATATTTCCCTCTGCTCAGCCGGTCTCCCTCAAGGTCTTGTGAGTGTGGTGTAAACAGGCTGCTCCCAGTGCGTGGGGCTGTGAGAGGGGGCCACGCTGGAGGGGTCTCCTATGGTAGTGTACAGAGGCCTCTGTGTAGGGCCCATGTAGGAGAAGGCTGAGTACAGCCCCGGGGCCTGGCCGGAGTGGGCGTAGTACGCCCCGGGGGCCTGGTGCTCTCCGTACTCGAACTGAGCCCTGGAGGCCAGCGAGGGGAACGCGGAGCCGTAATGAGGGAGGCTGAGCGGGGTGTAGGTGACGTGGGCGCCTGAGGAGGGAGAAGACGAGGCCTCGGCGTAGTGGCCCCCAGCCGCAGACTCGCTCTTGATCTGCGCCTTGGAGGGGTCGGAGGAGGACGGGGAGGCTTGAGGCTGCTGCTGCTGCTTGGAGAGCCACGTCGAGTGCCCGCTAGCAGCGGCCAGGGCATAGGCGTAAGACGAGGCCGAGGCCCCGGCCGCAGCGACCCCGGCTCCGCTCTGCGGGTGGCCATTCGGAGGAAGGTACTGGTCGAACTCGTTCACGTCGAATGGCTCGATGTTGGACATCACCTCGTGGCTGATCTCGCCGATGTCCATGGTGCCGAAATCGATGTGGGGTTTGGCGCCCGACGAGGACGGGCCACCGGAGGCCCCCTCAGCTCCCACCCCGAGGGCTCCCCTGGGACCCGCTGATCCTCCGGCCGCTCCTGCTGCCCCCTCCCTCTTTGCATCCGACAGCTTCCCAGACTGGAGCTCTGTCTTCGGGGTGGTGGGGGGCGTGGGTGGGCTGTGACCTTGACCTATAGAGGGGAGAGGAGAAGGGACATCATAATCAGGTACAAAAAAAGTTTGCATTTTGATAAACTTTTTTTTTGAATGTTCCCCTCAAACATCTCCAGAAACGTGAGAATGTAAATGATGATGATTGAGTCCACACTCCATACCAGCAGGATGGTGGTGGTGATGGTGGTGGTGGTGCAGGTCGCCCAGGGGAGACCCAGCCCCGCCATTGTGCTCCAGGTGCAGGGTCTTGTAGTGTGACTGGGAGTGGCTGGCCTCCCCTTCCCCCTGGCTGTCGGACTCGCTAGCAGTAGCTAGTTTTCCGTTTTTACGTCTCCGGGGCTGGTACTTGTACTCCGGGTAGTCCTTCTTGTGCTGTTTCCTCAGCCTCTCCGCCTCCTCGATGAATGGCCTCTTGTCACTCTCGTTCAGCAGCCTGGGGGGAGGTGGGGGGCAAGAAGTGATTTTAGTCTCACAGGTCCATCTGCATTAATGAAAATGTATTTTATTAGAATATGTCTGAAAATTGTAAATAGTGTCGCATTCAAGCGCAGAGGATAAGGATGGTAAAACTCGCCATGTAGCAACACATTATACACATTATATTAAGGAAACACAACAACAAAAATGCCCCAAATTTCTGTTTCTGTGTTTTCTTTGTTTACAACCACCAGCTTGAGTTCATAATATGCCCACTTTCTGCTTTCGAGTTCAGCATCTATGCCCCCACTTATCCTTGACGCACAGGCGACACAGGAAACGCGCCACTGCATGGCCACACTGTTCCTCTGTGGAACAACCAAGCCCCATACAAACCTCCACAGTTTGCCAAGGGTCTTGCTGAGCTCCGCGTTGTGCAGGTGGGGGTACTGGTCGGCCAGCTTCCTCCTCGCCGCCTGCGCCCACACCATGAAGGCGTTCATGGGCCTCTTGACGTGGGGCTTGGCTTTGTTTCCGTTGTTGACGCGCACCGGCATTGGTACAAGTGTCCAGTCGTATCCATCCAGCACCTGACTGACCGCCTCCCTGATGCCGATCGGGAAGCGATCGTCCTCTATCTCCGATTTGACCGCTTCGCCTCCGTCCTCCTCGCTGCCGTCCGCGACGCAGAGCGAGGTGAGCTGCGGCGGCGGCCCGGTCAGAGGTGAATCCTGGCGGGTTGGCGCTCCGGGTTGAGTCGGTGACAGCGAGTGACCGTCGTCTGAACCTCCGGGACTCAGTTCCGCCTCGGACAGGCTGTGCTCCTCGCCGGACATTTTTTTTTTTAAACTTTCAACAAGACAATCCGCGAATGTAAAATTAGTTTCAGAGAGAGTCCAAACTTTTCTGCGTGATTGATTCGTTTTAATTGAATAAGATGTGTTGGAGTCTTCGACGATCCCAGTTATTGCTGACTCTTCTCAGGTAGAGCCATATTGCTGCGTTAAAGTGTCCAAATCCTTTCCACCGTCCGCCTCGGCAAAAGCAGTCACACCTAAAAAAAAAAAAAAAGAATCCCACATCATCGTATAATAGAAACAATTCAGTTCTAATTAAGTCCACAAAAGGGAAACAATATCATTTAAGTTGTCATATGAATCAAGCGCCGGTTCACTTTGCTTAAGCTAAACAGGTTAGCGCATTAAATGTGACCAAATAACGGCACATCTAGCCAATAATAATAGCCTGATAATGATAATGCTATTTGGACGAAAGAACCGCATCCAGAAAAATGTATTTTCATCGAAGCCAAATAAGGAATAATGTGACTGGAAAGCGGCCTAAATACTGATATGAAATATCCACTTTATCATATAAATTTAATGTTAAAAAAATTACATAACTTACCAATTTAGATGTCCAGTGGTTCGACATGGGAGTGTGTGTGGCTGACTGTAGAGCCGATGAATGGCTGCTCTGTGTGGCAACACGGGAGCTTAAAGAGCGCCTTGTGAGGAGGACTGGGAGAGAAAAAAAAAAGTGATTGAAAGTGGAAAACATTCCCAGAGAGGCAGCATTCCAGCACACAGTCGAACCCGCCCCCTCCCGGGCACCGCACCGCGCTACGATTGGCCCTCTAATTACCCCGCCGCTCTCTGATTGGACAGGAGCAACGCACTGTTAATGCCCGTCTGTCCGTCACTGCAACATTTCCAACAGGGAAGAGGTGAGAGTTTTACATCGGAGTGCCTTAAATTACTCTACAGTGCGCCCATTTAGAAGCAGGAGAAGGCCAGCTTTGTTGGACGTGTTGACACGTTATATCAAACAAGTAAACAATCATGAGGAGAGGTATTGCCTCGTGTGGTCACGTTCCTCAAAAAAAAACAAAAAACTAAAATTCAGCTCTGATTAAACCAAATTTAGTTTGATCACACCTCACAACTTTCAGTTATAATCTTTATAGTGAAAATAAAATCTTGTAAAATGCATCAGAGAGGCATAAGTTTAGTAAATTAATGGATCTTATTTTTCAAAGAAAATGTAGGCTAATAAATAAATAATCAGGTATGTATGGTTAAATGTTGGGGTTAGTGATCATTCATCTCGTTAGAAAGTCACTTATAATTATCCCAGCATCAATATTCTCTATCTGACGCTATATTGCATGAAAACAGCATTATAATATTTAAAAAATAAACCAAATAAACGTATACGTTCTCATTACGCAGCTCATGGCATGCAAACATGATCAATTAGAATTACATTTGGGATTGATTAATGCAATTAAAAGTCCTATATATTATTGTTAAAAATGATATGATGGGAAAAGTGGGCCACATTCTGGCAAATTATTGCATTACCATAACAAATATTCCCAAACGTGTGAAGTGTTCCAGAACATTTATTCAGAAAAGAAATGTTGATTTGACATTTCGACATCCTTGATCAGATGTGAACTACCAATCTCTACTGTAACATCTCATTGATCATGTATGAAGTATACCGTTATGAATTGCACACATTAAACGTGCTTATAGAAAAGTGTCTCACACTGACAGCGTCTAAAACCAGATATCCAAAGAAACTGAAGATGACGTTGCTCTCATTTTCAAACGTGATCAGAGACAACGTGGCTTTTTTAAAAGAGTGTTTAAGATATTTACTAAAAAAAAAAAAACTGAACAAATGGCAACCAGTCTCTGTTTGACGCTCAACCACGCCCACTGCGGTGATGGCACACACCTACAAATGAGTGAGTGACACAAGTGTTGGGCCAAGATTTTAGGATTTAAAAAAATAATGTACTGGTTCAAGTCAAATGGCAAAACAAAGCGACGTTTAAATATTCATATTTTTGCTGAAGTGTCAGTGTTTTAGAAAGTCCAACTTTAAGGTTAATAGGCCTAAAGAATACCTGAAATGCAGACTGATGTGGAATTGTTCCAATCAAATAAAATAAGAGAGAATTAATTGATAAATTATGAAATAAAATAATGTCATCAAGCTGAAAGTGATGAAGGCTGGATACATGTAGGTTGGAGGTAAAAAAAACTATCTCCTATAAAATATTTCTAAAAAAGTTTTTTTTTTTATATAAAATTTTATAGAAATGACGTCACTGTGGTCGTGGTTTTACGCGTAAAACAAGTCTGTGGCGGGGAAAAAGTTGTTCGCTTGCGGGCCATGATTTGTGCCGTTTAAGCGTGGCCTGATGGGAAGGAAGAGAATCGACTTCAGCAGCATCTGATGCGCACCCAAACACACGCGAATACACACACACACACACACACACACACACACACACACACACACACACACGCACACACACCAAATGAATGCAACAATAACCCCCTGTGTGTCCGTTGCCTCTCATGTTGAGCCTGACCTCTCGGTTTTCGCTCTCCCTCTCTCTCTCTCTCCGCTCTCTTTGCTCTCTTTGTCTCCATCTCAGGTGAATAGCAGCCATGTGATCAAACGCCCAAGCCTCTATCCATTAACCCTCGTAAATGAAGAAGAAGAAAAAAATGGGGGAACAAAAAGCAGTGTTGTGCTGCAAAACATGAAAAAAAATTGATAACAGAGAGCGATGTGTGCGTCTTTCTCCCCTTATGTCCGAGCATAGACACCAGTCGCGCACACACAGAAAAAGCAGACGGGCCGCGCGGATCTCCCTGTATTCTGCCGCTTTTTTTTTGCGCCTCTCAGCTCTCGCTTGCGGCACCTGGATCTGGGCCTCGGAGGGTGCTGATGGTATGGGGCTTGTGTTTGGGGATGATGGTGTTTGGTGGTGGAGGAGGGAGGTGGCAGGGTGCGGTGGAGTGCGGTGGGGGGCGAGGGGGGGGGGGGGGGGATACCTCCATGCTGCACCCCGCCGACCCAACCGGTACCACCGGGATCCTGCAAGAGGCCCTCCGAGGCTCGTGAAGTGAGTGTTTGTGTCTGTGCTGGTCGATACGAGGAGCTGTGATTTGTTTTTTTTTATGCTGAGAAGCGTGTTCAAAAGTGTGCGCGTCGCTCTGCGGCTTGTTCGCTAGGTTTCGACAGACCGGAGGGCTGGAGGAAGCTGCGGTTTTAGGAGTGTTTAGTTAGTGCAGCTGCATGTCCCCACCCCCACCCCCACCCCCCCAGGGTGTATGTCAGTTGGAGCGAAACTTTTTTTTATTATTATCGCCAGTGTGTCTTTGCTGAACAAATTCATCGCAAAACGTGATAATTAAAACATATATAATGGAGTATAAAAAAACCTTGGGACATTCTCACATATAAGATAGCACATTCGTCGACTTATTAATAACTTTATCATCTAGTCTTGCTGTGACAATGTAGTGACTTTGCACTGACATTATTCTGACATTGTTATTTTTGTCTCTTTTATTGACTAAATGATTATTTAATTCTCCCGGAGGTCACTGCATTGTTGCTGTAAACATTATAATGTTTCATTTTATAATTACAGTGGTTCCGTTTCATATGAAAATAGTTTTGCTGTTGATGTTGGAAATTAAAGAACGCTTTTGGAAAGAAAATAGATTACATTTTTTTAAAGTTACAAACCTACAGAACTATCTGACCTTTTTTCCTAAAATAAATATTTTAAAATGAAAACAACTATTATGTAACTTCTGTTTATGATGTGCAGGGAAAAATGTCCAGAAAAAAAGTATCAAATGTTTTGAACTGAGACAAAATAATCACGAATCTCGTGAAAGCTTTAGTTTGCTCAAACGCAGTAAAAAAAAAAATCAAGACCCTATATTTATATCGGATTTTTCTTATGTGTGGGTGTTTGTATATTATGAATGAAGTAATTTAGCTGACACTTACTAAAATCAGTTATAATCGAACAAACAGAAAGTGGCCTTTAAAACAGTGTCTAAACAACCGTTTAATAAAATCCAATACATTATGTTTTTTTTAATTTAATGTCATTTTACGCGCAAACATCTATTTCTTCTAACGAATTAAACGCAATCAACGAGGCGAACTTTTTCTTTTTATCGTTTTCATCGTGCGGTCCATTTATTGATCGCTTCTGATTTCTTTCGTCTCAACGGGCCTCAGATCGCCGCTCAACACTCACGTTTTATTTCCGTTGGGCAAAGACAAACCTTGATTATTCTCTGAAGATGCTAATTTTGATAAATACTGTATGTGGTTTCGTGATTATTTTTGCCACTTCATTTGCCTGCAGGCCTTTTGTTCAGCCAAGAAAACAGGCCCGATCTTCCTCTAACTCAGCTGAGCTGTGTCTCTAATTCTCACACCCTTGTCTTTAGAATATTATAATTTCAAATGTTTTCATATTTTGTTTGCGCTTTTAAACAAATTGCCCGTTCTACCTTTCTATTTGTATTGGATATGTTCAGTGAAAATAATTTGAGTTTTTGATGAAAACAAATATGAACTTCAGGCTTGAAACTGTCCTCAAATGAGTTAAGGATTAAACTCCTTCAGTTTTACCCGCAGTGCCTGTAGTGATTATCTCAGCACTGATTTAATATAAAGGCATAATCAACTAATGTTTTTATGTCATCACATTGATAACCTCTACATTCCTTCCTCTGGCACAGTTGAAAATCATATGCTTTAGTAAGACATTTTAACAAACAGCTGTTTTGTGGATCATCTTTGAATGACATCTTGCACATTTTGTCATTGAAGACTCCAATTCCTTTTTTTTAAGTACCGTATTTGCAGGTTAGTTGTCACATCTTGGTGATCCAAATGTCAGAGCTAAACAGCTCATAGTTTCCTCTTTAAAAAAAAAAAAAAAGATATGTAGCCAACTTGTTTTATAGGAAATGAAACAACTATTCCACCTGTCAGCCAAATCTAAACAAAGAACCTCCCCTCTCCTGTTTGTCTCTTCTTGAAGTTCATTCATTTCCCATGTTTTGCTTGGGACTCTGAGCCCGTTTGTATGTCCTGTGTGAGACTTTCATGGGCCCTCGGGGGCAGCTGTAACTTGTTATAAAATAGAGCTCACATGGTCGCATCAGTCCCCGCGCTAACCTGCCATGTGACTGCTGTAATGGGCCTCTCCATGGCTGCGCCGACCACTGGGTCACAAGAAGCCCGTTTCCTGCGGCTCCTGGGGGGAGAGGATGGGAGGATGAGGTCTCATGATCAACGGGGAGGGAGGGAGGGAGGGGGGTCAAAGAGTCAGCCTTCAGGTGCACGCTTAGTCATGGGCGTCTGTTATTTTTTTTCACGTGTGATCCGGACGGGAGGGATGAGTTCAAGGCTCACTGAAGAATATATTTTTAATATTAGATCAGATAGAATGAGGTGATCAGGTTGGAAGGAAGGACAAAGAGAGTAGAGGAGGAAAGAAAACGCCCTTTTTTCTTTTTTTTTTGCTTTGGCCTTAATACTTGAACATCCCCCGGGGGGAAATTCCTGAAATCTGACGATGGATGTTGAGAAAAAGGCAAGAAAGAGAGATGCAGATAGTGTGTGTGTGTGTGTGTGCGTGTGTGCGTGCGTGTGTGTGTGTGTGAGAGGGATGCAGATAAG